ATATACGTGAACTGCTAATTAAATAAGAGATCTTTAAAAAAAAAAAAGATACAAATGGCCTTGAAATGGTATATGAAAAGAAAGGTGGGTGGGTGGGTAAAGGTGAGTAACCAGGAAACATCTAGATGATGAACTCAAAAGGCACAGAAGAGCCAGACACTTAGACCAGGTGAAGTGGAAAAGGAGACTGGATTTCACACTACAGATGAGAAAGGATTTAAGCCGAAGGGGCATGTGATTTGTCATCTGGCAACTGGATCACAGAACAAAGCAAGGTATAGGATCTTTAAAGAAGCAGGACACCAGTTAGGAAACTATCAGTACAATAGGCCATGACCAGGTTCACCAATGAAAAGCCCTGTGTGAACTTACTCCTAGGCTCTACAAAATAGCCTCTAATCAAGTGAGAGTTGCCCAAAGCGGAAAAAAATCAAGACTTTCAAAGGCAGGAAAATAGGCACTAAGCATGGTGGATTCAACTCCCTGTATGGGATGCAATACAATGGCTTCCAGGTGTAATATGGCCAAATCTGTGGCCCTTCAGACCTCTTACCACACGTAGCCACTGATCACTTCCTGAGAACCCTCTCTGGCTCAGTCTTTGAGGAAATTAACAACAATGCCCATAGGGGGCATTTTAAAGTCTGCTAAATGAACGTCCCTCCCCGCAGCACACCGGAAGAAAACTATCAATGTAAAAAGGAATAAGACGGTGACAAAGGGCCCTTAACAAGCTCATCCCCACAGTTTCAGAGGACATCTACTTCAGATCTACTAAACCGTAATGTGTGATGACTGAAAACAAAGCTACGAATACCCAGTACTTTTTAAAGACAATTGTGCTTAACATTAAAATAACAGGAGCATTTCCTATGCATGAAGTCAGGCACCACTGTTTTCATTCAGTATCTCATCAGCTCTTTAAACTAACTTGTCCAACAGAAACCACCACTGTCACTTCTACATGCCAAGGAATTAAGACCTTAAAATGTGCAGACGCACACTTGTATTAATGAAGAAACTGGATTTGTAAAGAAAGTCTCTAAATCCAAAGCCCAGGGATCATAACAACCACTTAGTACTTCAGATAATATCTTAAGTTGCATAAAGTAATATTACTAACTAATGCTGACAGACTTTTATAACAGAACACAGGCTAAAATAAACTGTTTTAATTATTATATACACTTAAGTAATATACACTGAAGTAATTAAGGTCTAATTATCAATAATTCTGCCCATTTCATTAGAGCAAATCCCTTTCTCTACTGGCTAGTTCCTTAATTTGCTCTACTTACATAAATCTAAGAATATATCATAAAGGATAACTTAAGTCATTAAGTAGCAATACAATAAAATTTAGTTTTCTGTAACTTATAATTCATCTTTGTATACAATTATCCTCTATCTTCAGTCAAAATCTGAGTTTAATATTTTGAATAAAAGCAAATAGTTAAATAACCTACTACTAATAAGCTCACAGGATTGAATAAATTCACACACAAGCTCTCCTTATGACTGCTGTTAGTATTTTTTTAACTTTATTATTTTTATTTTTAATTTATTATTTTTAGTGTATGAGTGTATTGCCTGCATGTATGTGAGTGTACCTGTGTCGTGCAAAGCCCTCAAAAGAGGGCTTTGGATTCCCCTGGAACTGGAGTTAAGGATGGTTCATAGCCACAATGTGGGTGCTGGGAATCAAACCTGGGTCCTCTGCAAGAGCAGTCATTGCTCTTAACCGCTGAGCTATCTCTCCAGCCTATTATTTTTATTTTATATGTATGCATGCATTGCCTGCATGTATATAAGTACACATGTGTCATGCAATGGCTGTGGAGGTCAGAAGAGGCTGTTGGATCCCCTGGGACTGGAGTTATGGACAATTAGCTGCCATGTGGGTGCTGGGATTCAAACCCGGGTCTTCTGCAAGAACAACCAGTGTTCTTAACCACTGGGCCATTTCTTGAGCCCACTGTTAATATTTTTACACACCATGCATTTCTTTTCAACAAATGCTTTATATTTACGTGGCAACAAACAATGCACAATGATAAATTTAAATAGGATTTCAGCCCAAGGCAGCCATGCTCTGACAACAGCAAGCAACAGTCTCTGCTGTCTCTCCACCACACATCCAGTTGGCAATGCATGAAATCGTCTGTGAACTTTACTACATTTTAATAAAATTATATTCCAAAAAAAATGAATACACTATCATACTAATTAATGTAACATCAATTTACAAACAGAAATTGTAAAATATTCAGGAGACATAGTGCTAAAACCCTAACAGGCTTAACTGCAGAATTATCTTTCACTATATAATCACATGAAATTGGGCCAGCGACAGATTACACAGTAAATGATATCCAGGAGACGTTCCTCTAGAACTGCTTCATTTACATATATCACGACTATGTGACTTGATACTCTGCTATGTGCTTTTCATGTACTATAAATACATGTAATAAAAGGGTTGTGGCTGGGTCAAAGCTAAAAACTTTTTATGCTATTAAATCTCAAATACAACACCCTATTAATTTTCTAGAAAAATATAAATAACTTGCATAAACATGTGTTTTTAAAACCTGGGCACGACACCACCAGCCTAGAGTAGCCTAGACCAGCCTAGACCAGTAGTTCATCTAGCCCATTATCCTGTCTGTGACTATGGTGGCCAATGGTGGATACACCACAGGATGGCCTAAGCATGTCACATAATATATAATCATGCACCACTATGCCATTATCGCAGATGGTGGTTGGACTATATCCTGAAAGAGATGAGAAAAATCCCAATTCCCTCCCACCAATTTTCCATAAGGTGATGGGAAACCTCGAACAGAAGTATAAATTTAACCAGGGTACAAGTTAATGCTTTGGTAACATGACAAGTGACCAAGAAATTATCATCTAAAATGAAAAGCTGCATACAGAAATAGAACCCAAATATATCAAAACATATGATTTGGAAGGGAGATTTCAATGAACTACAAAGCAACTGATCCACCCAAAGATGTGAAATTTTTAGTTAAACCTGAAGATAAAACACTACAATTTCTAAGCAGGCCAAGGCCATTTTGTGACATGCTATACTGTTTTTTAGACTGCATGACAGTATAAGGAGAGAAGTGACTTTGCAGCTGTTTTGTGATGCCTGTGGACTGCCAGGCGCACATTGCAGTGTGTACAACTACATAATGCAGAAATCTTAGTTTGCCCTTTAGGAAATACCATTTCCTCAACAATTACAGAGAAAAAATGTACTATACTTTTCAGAGATTTGGAGATCATTTTCTTGGTAGTACACATAGGTATTGACTTAACATCCCTTGTACTCAGGAAACAGTTTCTGACCTAAATCCTCAAGGGTATACTTTGAATTCATTTTGTATTTTTTCTGTCATACCATAAAATTTCATATATCTAAAAATGCTCATTAATGGCTTTTGTGCAGAATTACTGCACTGCAAGACTATAAACCCAAGAACTCAGTACTAGGTTAAGTTTCGTGATTTTCACATGCCATAGAGCATAGGCCAAGAAACAGATCTGAAAAACTACTTATTTGTAATTTTTACCAAGGACTGTACTTCTTCCCAACACACTCTTTCTCAAAAAAAAAAAAACTTATCTGTGCACCAGAACAAAATCTAAACTTTCGGGAAAAGAAGTTTGTAAGAGGTGTGAACAAGGAACGATGTGTATGAAATTCCACCCAGGCAACATTTCCTTCTCTAGAATGGGAGACAGTTTAATAAAATGCAGCTCAAAACCACTGATGGAATGAAGCTGCAATACGGGATCCTTAACCCTACATGCACGGCTGTGCTGCTGTTCTCAACATCCCACACTGCCTCCTAGACTACACCAGGCTGACACAAACACTTTTAGACTGAACTCACCCTTATAGGGTCCAAATCAAAAGCAGCAGACCAGTTATGAGAGAGCAAATCTCAGAACACACACTCAACAGGAAAAGTAGGTCTTAATCACACTGTAATGCTTAAAAATGGAGGGTCAGTTCACATGTCTAAAAGTTATTTCTTAGAATGCAGTGTTCACCATACGCTATACTATGAATTTCACAGAATAGATGCCACTTATAAAAAAATGTTATTAAAAGGTTATTCGTAGTCTTGAGAATTTTCTAGTTAGATTCCCAAAAAGCTGTTTCTAGATATCAAATCTATTTTTTAGGAATAAAATCAACAGGACAAGCAAATGTCTTTGTAAGTTCTCAGTTTAGACTTTAGATCACAAAGTATCATACATAGACCAGTGAACTAAACAGCAAACATCATTTCTCATAGTTCCAGGCACACAGAAGTTCAAGATCAAGACACCAGGAGATGGTCTGGTAAGGGCCCTCTTCCTGGTTTGATGGGCCATCTCTTGATGCATCCTCACAAAGAGATCATCTCGTGTCTCTTCTTGTAAGGACACTGTGCTGCATAGCTTTAGTGTCAACTTGACACACCTGATTGGAGGAATTTCCTCCAATGGATTGCTTGGTGGCCATGTCTGTGGAGTATTTTTTTGATTGTTGAGTGATGTGGGAGGGCCCAGCCCACTGTGGGCAATGCCAGCCCTGGGCAGGTTGTTCTGTATTGTATAAGAAAGCAGGCTGAGCACAGGCCAGGGGAGTAAGCCAGTAAGCAGCTCTCCTCTATGGTCTGTGCTCCAGGTTCCTGCCCTGAGTTTCTGCATTGGCTTCCCTTGCTGATGGACTGTGCTTGTAAGCCAAATAAACCCTTTCCTCCCCAAGTTGGTTTTGGCCAGCGTTCTTGTCACAAGAGAAAGCAGATGAGAACAGACATGAATCCCACTCATGAGGGCTTCACTCAATGGCCCTATGTCTTTCCCAAAGGCTTATCTCCACTTACCATCATAGTAGGAATTCAAGTCTCAATGTCTGAATCAGTAGGTACACACAAACATTCAATCCACAGAAGCAAACAAAACTTAGTACATATAAATAAATAGTACCAACTTACTTTTATTGCCCACTAAAGCAACCAGGGGCTGTGTTTCCGATGCCTCGGTCACCGTCTTCACCACAGAATACCAGTCTTCTAAATTCTCAAAGCTTTGGTGATTTGTGATATCATACACCAAGAGGATTCCCTGCCCCAAGAGAATCACAGAGTGTTTGTAACATACTGCTGAAATACTAATAATACTCTTCAGTGCTTCTGATATGTCAGGCACAGGGCAAAAGTGTGTATACAAACTTTTCACCTTAGTGCAGAAACAGTACGAAATGATTCCATTCACCATTCACAATATATCCTGAAATTAAGATGTAATGCAGGCTAAGGTATAATTTTATCAAAATTTTAAGTGGTTTCCCAGTAAGACATCTGAAGAATGTTTAGCAAATTCGGTAAATATAAGAAAATTAAGTCACAAAAGTGAGAAAGTAGCAAAGTCCACAATCCTGCCTCTTACTTTCACAAGGTCAAACATTTACACTTTTCAGTAAGTAACCATCTGTTGCCTCTCCTTTTAAATACATTCAAATCTGAAGATTCCATGACATCCCTTGATAGTCAATTTCAGTGTTTAACACAATTTTCTTCAAATGAAATGTGGATTTCCTCTTTAGGTCCTTTGTGCATTTGAAGAACGACCGAGAATATCCTCCTCATAATAACCCCTCATATACTTGAAGATTGTTAAGCAACTCCTTTACTGTCTGCTTTCCAGAGCAAATAAACTCAGTTCCTCAAACTTGCCTCAAAGGGCCTATTTTCTGTCCCTTTAATCATGGCTGTTGATTCTCCCCAGGACATACTACTTACAGTTTTTGACATCCTCTTTAAAATGAGCAATGTAAAATGGGACATGGCACTGTAACAAGAGTCCAGGAGACGCAAATACGACAGAGGGCCTGCTTCCTGTGTCTCATGCATCATATGCCTTCTTAATTTATCCCATTATTTTGTGGGAGAGGATGAGGAGCATACACTCACAAAAAAAATAGAACCGCATTCTTTGATTCTCATCCAGTTTGGGGGTCAAACACTTAACAAAGCTCTGCTTGCAGGAAAATTCTGGACTCCAAAGCATCCAGACTTCCTAGGTATAATAAGAAAAGTTAACTGTTCTTGTGATCTACTATCTACCAAACACAGATATGGGTCTCTTCAATAACCTTCAACTTCACCACAGTTAGAAGTGGACATTATTCTCATTTCAGTGGTAGAGGTTACAATAACCAAGATGACCCAGATAAATGATGAACCAGGACTTGATTCAAGGACTAAATGGCTAAATACATTTGTCTGTACACTCTATACTAACCACTATGCTAAATCTTAGGGATCTAAGTGCAAAACTTCAAGGAACTCATTCATAGTCTTCCAGGAAAACCAGGCACATAAATATGTCAGCATAAGACACAGCCAGTAATAGGTTGGTAAACACTTATCCATAAGCTTGGGGCTCAGTGGGGGTGGAGATGGGGGAGGCAGCATTATTTGTACCATTTTCCAATCCTCCTGGTATGTGCTCCCCTGCAGCTACCATCACTGTGGTACTACTTAAGACAAGATGGCTAAGACACCAGCACGTGGTGCTCCTACCATGCACATAAACAATTAGCAGCCGAGCATGGACAGCAGAAATGACAGGAATTAGTAAAATATTTTGAGCTCTTTTTAACAAAATCCATGAGTTTATATAAAAATTTTAATCATGAGTATATGCAATACTTGGCTCACAGAAACTGTCAAGACTTTAGAAGTAGACTTTCTAAAGCCAGAACATACTGACTGCTGTTACAATCTTTGAGTAGCACTGTGGTTTTATTAAACCACTCTGGCCCTTAAGTCACAAAGTTTCTCAGGGTCTCAGGCTTCTTATATTTTTAAAAAACGTATTCTACTATTGTTATTTTATGTGTATGAATGTATTGCCTGCATGTACATAAGTGTACCCATGTCATGCAATGCCTACAGAGATCAGAAGAGGGCATTGGATCCCCTGGAGCTGGAGTTACAGACAGTAGTGAGCTGCCTTGTGGGTGCTGGGAACCAAACCCAGATCCTCTGCAAGAGCAGCCGGTGTTCTTTACTGCTGAGCCATCTCTCTAGCTCCTTGGGTTTCTTATCTTTACAATTATATCTTTGATAGTTTCCAAGATACCTTTCAATTTTAAATATTCTATCATTTTAAGGTGGTTCAACCCTGTAATTTCAGAACTAAGGAGGCTGAAGCAGGACAACTATTAGGAGTTTGAATTTAGTGTGCCACTACACAATGAACTCTAGGCCAGTCTGCACTACATAGCAAGACCCTGTTTCCCTCCCCAAAAAACAAAACATCAACCAACAGCACCTTAGTTTGCCAGGAATGGTGGCATATACCAATGCTTGGGAGGGCAGAAGGAAGAGGCACAGAAGTTGAAGGTCAGCCTTAGCTACATCGTACGTCTGTCGAGACCACTTTGGGCTACATGAGAACTTGCCTCAATAAAACAAAAATAAATATAAATAGTCCATAATTTTTAGACAAAACCACTTCTCTGATTTATTTTGGTAACAAGATCTATTTGTTTCTTCCAAGATATGCTGAAATAATGACAAATATAGAATTATCTGAAATAAGAAATATAATCTCGGACTGGAGAGATGCCTCAGTGGTTAAGAGTACTGGCTGCTCTTGCGAAGGACGCAGGTTCGATTCCCAGCACCCACATGGCAGCTGACAACTGTCCATAATGCCAGTTCCAAGGAATCTGACACCCTCTTCTGACCTGCACAGGCACTGCAAAGCATGGGCGCACCTACTTACATGCAGGCAATATACTCATACACATAAAATAGAAATAATAAATTTTTTTTAATTTAAAAAAGAAATATAATCTCACTTTCTTGAAGACTAAAGCTCCAAAACTGAACTCTGGAGATAGTAACCCTCACTGTACTGACTCTACCTTCCACTGCGGGAGGTGACAGGATTTACTGTTTGCTGAAAGAGCGCTACTCTTAGATTCTAGTCCTGGACCCATCACCTATTGATCTTGGAAAACAATTCTGCTTTCTCACTTTAAAAATACCTAACAAACCTACATGATTAAGAGAATAAAAATGCACAATAAATAAATCACTTAAATTAATATTTTATACAATTGTATGGGATTTTTATTATTCTATGTGAATCACATTTTTATGGTAACTTTGTTTTATATTCATCAAATAAACCCCAGACCCTCGATAACTAAACTTTAAAAGTCTTGGAACCTTTTCATTAATATATAAATATCTTTCTACCAAAATGAGACAGTAATTCAGTATGATAAGTATATGCAAATAAAATATAATTGTCACCATCTGCTGATGAACAGTTCTGGGTCAGCAATATTGAAAACTGGAAACCACTGATCTAGAACAAAGGTTTATAAACTGTGAACCAAAGGTCCAGTCCACATGTATTCTAGATAAGGCTTTTATTTAAATATAGTTATGCTCTTTTAAGCATGATCAATGGCCGTTTTTGCACTACAAATGAAGACCTGAGATGAAGACTCACTGCAACAGAGATAGCAATGGCCTGCAGGACCTAAAGAACCTACCATCCAGCTCTTCATAGGACAACCCTATTAGCCCCTGGTCTAACCATTGTGTCCTTACATTTTTCAGAGATTCTTTTGAATCCTTTAAGATTGGAAAAAAAAAAAAAAAAAAAAAAAAAAAAAAAAAGATAAATTCTAACTATCTGCCAACCCAAATGCCTCTGCGTTCATATTCCCAACACAAATAAATGTAAAACCGATTCTGCCTTTGATCTTACCATGACAATTACTGCTGGTTTTGACCTTCAATGCTACAGTGAAAAACACTGAGAAGCCAATATGGGAAAACCAACAGTATCAAAGTACAAAAGAAACTCCAGGGCTTTTTGTAACAGTCCAGACATATAACAAACTTCAGTTATTACCTCTGTCTTTACAAGGAAAATCCTAAACAAAACAAAGATGGACTTCTCTGGATTCTGATCAGAGAACCAAGACTGGACGGCAAATCGCCACCCTGAGCCCTGGAAAGATGGGCAGATCAAAGAGCGTCTCTGCCAAGACCTGCCTCCTTGGAGCAGAAGCCAAGAGAGGAAGTAAAGTAGGAATGTCCAAATAGCAATTCTGGCCATCTACAGAAGGCGCCTCAGGAGCACAGGGACAAACTCTCAGCAGCCCCGTCTTCAAATCACCCCACTTTTATGGGCTTTACCTCCAGGAACTTGAAGAGCAGAGAAAGGCACCTTCATGGTTCTGACATGGAGAAAAAGAAGGCAACCGTTGTGCTATCTACCCAGACTCGCATCCCTTCAAGGAAGGCAAGTTCTCAACTTCTGACTCCTGGGGCCATCTTCTCATTAAGCAGGAGCTTCCTAAATGCTGACATATTTTGATCACAACTTTTCCTTCCTCCATACTTCACCACAGAATCAACAGAACTCCAGTATAAAGCAACCAATGTCAGTTCGATGATGCACAAGGCACATATTACCTAAAAAGGAGTTCTCTGAAATACCTAAGAAGGATGGGAAGAATTAAATAAGGGCACCAGAGGGGTTTGATGCCTCTGTCACCTAAAGCTATAAGCTAAATGCAACATATGCAAGGCCAAAGCAATGGAAAACCTGATGAGAAAGGCCTATTTACTTCAACTCATTATTCAACTTACCTTGCCCATCATTCAATAGAAAATAACTAAGCATTTGTTGTAAAAACTCTTTCCCTGGGGAGTTATAAACAAAGGTCTATCCTTCCAGGCAGGGCACCAAAGACAAACAACTTACCATTTCCACCTAAGTACAACGTAAGGAACTAATGAGTCTTTGGGGCTCACTTACAGAGTATGGGTGAGCCTAAAGTAGCCACACTGCCAGGAAGTCTCACCCCAACACAGATGATGACTTCCCCATAGCCACATAGATGGAATCACCCCCTTCAACTAGGCTTCCTCAGTCTGCATACTCTAGCACTTCCCAAGACCACTAGGCCACCTGTACTCAGGAAAGAATTACAAAAGGCAGGGAGGAGCCAGGTGCAGCTGCCAGAATCTCAGGTGACAGTCCAGTGACCCTCCCTATACTCCACTGTATAAAGAACAGCAATGAGTCAA